CTAATGGGAATGAAAAGGAAGTTGTTAATAAAATCTTTTCAGTGATTGATTAATGGAGTACATCTCCTCTTTATTCATGGATGAGTTTGGGTAGAAGGAAGTCTAATAGGCTTGCTCGGCCGGGTTCTCTCGGTTGAGCGCTGGTCGCGCTCCATGAGTTTGGGGCGTGACAATTCCATCGCCTTCACCGTCGTGTGTATTTTGGGCTACCGAACGGACTCCCCCGTGGATGCTGTTCTCAGGATCGGTAGGCAAATTTGCATTGATGGCCACATGTGAGTTAGCGTCGATTGGGTCCGCAGCCGGAACTCCGTTGGGGTCGACAGGGGGCACCTCGTTACTGAGTGCCATATTGTTGTTCTCGCCATGGTGGCCAGACTTATCATCCACGTTCAAAGGAGCAGATTGAGAGTTCGACATTTTAAACTTTAACCTGAAATTAAAAATACTTTAAGAACAAGTGTAAAATAGGGTGTGTTAAGGAGATTTGTATCAAATTGCCACTATTATCCTTAGCCTCCATGGTGGGCGCGAAACTGTTTACTCTTAAAAATGGATAACAATTAAATTTGTTTGTGATTTTAAGGATACGTGGATTAATTCAATACAAACGGTAAATATTGCTAGATTGAACAGATAAAAGATGTAATAAATTGCCAAACTACTCGAAAACAAGGGAAAGGGAATGATTCTGGACTCGACGGCAGCCTCAATGAGATATCCGTCCTCGATCCCTGACTGATAGTAATGGAACAATGATCAACAAGTGTAAGAACTTTGAATAATAGAAAAATAATAGTATATTTCCTTAGTATGCGTGTTACAATCTGTTTAATGAACAATCAGACCCCCCCTCCTTTATATAGTAGGGGAATCCTACTCTAGGTACAATTCCATAAAAGGTAAAAAAAATCTTCCGTTTAAGTAATCACCGGATTTCCGCCGGTACGTGCCGAAATCTACGCCGTGATACCCGGATGGTCACGGATATCACGGCCCTCTGTTAATCGTGTTCGGTTGCCCGATAATGTTCTCTGAAGTCTTTTGAGATTCGGACCGATCCCGGGGTCATTGCCCCGATATTTCCGAAGGCGGGCATCGTGCCCCCGGACCCTGTATCGATGAGACCCTTGCCTCGATTCCGGCTCCTTATCGTCACGCCTCTTGCTTGATTTACCTTATCGGAAACCGGGCGGTCCCGTTCACCCGTATACAATGTTAACAGAGTTTCATATTTCACTAAGGAAGACGATACTTTGACCAATGCATCTATATAATCTGGGTACAAATCTAAGCGGGTCTCCAAATCATTGTCTTTCTAATCCTATCCTATCTTTTGTCGCAACTTGGAGTTGTGAAGAAACTCCAAGACAAGTCAGTCCAACTGGACTGAGTTCGCTGCCACGTTTTCTTCCAGTCCGCTATCTCTCTCACGCATGTTGGGTTTGATTAGCCAAGAATAGGAGTCTAGTTCATTTTATCTTTATCTTTATCATTATATATTTGGTGTTGCGATCTGACTAACAAATTATTGTATTACTGTGTTTGTGTTGATTTTCTTTAGCATGATCACTTAGGTACATATTTAGTTGGTGCAATTAAGATTACGCTCGTTTTCCTAAGGGAGCTAAACAGAAATTTTGATAGCATTTTGTTTTGGTAAGCAATTAAAATCCAAGATCCTTATAGAAATAACTCGTCTAACAAGAACTGGACTACGTACTACTGGAACTAATCGTTTTATGAAATATCATTTGTAGAACGAATTTTGAGCCCAAAACGATGCCCCAAGTCTAAATTGGTTTTACTGGAATTCCAAAACAGAAATAAATTCTGCAAATGGGCCTTTAATCCAATCAATTTCAGCAGTCAACAAAATTGGATTTCTTAAACTGTTGGGCCAACCCTGTATAAAGTATTGACAGCCCCTCCAAAATGTTTTTGGCCCAAGACAGTCTAGCCTGCTTAAGCCATCAAAAGAGGCTAGATCTTAAATCTTAAGAGGCCAACTCAATTTAAGAGAATATCTCACTTTATACCCATTAAGCTCAAACTGTTTACCCTTTAATACCCAAGCCTAAACTATTTACTTTTCCTACTTATATGCGGCCCAAACTTTTGCCCGACCTACCCATTAGCTATTTGCCTTCGCGTTTGAAGCATAGAAGTTTAAAATATCCGGCTTCATTTTTGCAAGGTTACTTAGTAGCTATTACAATATGATAGCGAAATAATTTGGTCTTTATTTATTTTAAGTAACACATACAATTACTTAATATACTCCATTAAGTTTACCACATCTGATATTTGTGTGTGTATGAAGACCAAAAATTGTTGAGCTTGAAGCTCCTGAATTTGAAATTTTATTTTGAAGATATCTATTGTTTGATTCGATGTGGGGTGCTATAAAATATTACTTATAGTACCTTCGAGTAAGCTTCCCGAATCTGAATTTTTATGTATATTTGAATATCCATCATTGTTGGGCTTGAAACTCTTGAATTTAATATTTTTATTTTGAAGATTTCTTGTTTGATTCAAAGTTGGTGTTATTAAATATTGCTCATAATACCTTCTGGAAGTTCATATTAATATTTGATCGCATTTGGAGCTGATTTGTGGGGATTGAGATCGAATGTTTCAGCTGAAAATCGAAGAACACAATTACCCAATAGTATACCGCTACAGTATATAATATGTTGTAGGATTATATAGCTATACTGCAACAGTATACTATTATAATATACAATATACTCGACCGGTATACTGTAATAATCAAAGAAGAACACAGTTACCTAACAGTATACTGCTACAGTATAAAATATACTATAGGAGTATATAACTATACTACAACAGTATACTGTTATAGTAAATAATATACTGTAGTGGTATACTGTAATAATATGCAATATAATGCAACAGTATGCGGTAATAGTATTACAATATACCATAATAGTATACTTCGACTATTATTTGTTGAATCATCTAGGTGCTATTGTGCAAAGCTAAAGTCATGGTTATAGTAACACTATACTGTTATAGTATACAATATAATATAACAGTATACCATAATAAATAAGTCATTTTTAAATTTTTTTAATTTTTCCAACTAGGTTCTTGCAAATATTTTCTTAATGAATATTTTGATGGAGTTCCATGAAAATAATATTCATTGTATAAGAAGTAGGTGTCGGAAGATATAAAATAATAATATACCTATTTGGTTTATTAATATGCAATTTTGGTATACTATTATGAAATGTATTTTACANCTCCCAAAAGTCACACCCTTCTTCAATTGACCTACCGTCTCCTTCCCCTTATTTCTCCCAATCTATATTATCTATATTATTATTTATTATTTATATAAAAGAGGGCCTAAGACAGTGAGGTGGCACATCTCTTTGATTAGAATGACTATTTATCTAATTCTCAATTTTTGGCATTTAAAAATTCTAAAAACGTATATTAATTCAAAACTCGCTTCCCACTCCCAAAAGTCACACCCTTCTTCAATTGACCTACCGTCTCCTTCCCCTTATTTCTCCCAATCTCATCGATTCTATCTTAATCTAACGAACGTATCTGTGACCTAAGCCTAATTTTCTTCAGGCTATTGAACTCTCTGTTATACCACTCCAATGCGCCCTCCCGAGTCCCGAGTCATCATTTTGACTGTTCGAAATCGCGGTATTTGAGTTTCTTTGATTGCAAGGTAATTTCCTTTATCTTCTCTCTTCGTGATTCTTGTACAGTGTTTATTTTTTTCTATCTATTTTGGATTTAAGATCTACTCATTCTTATTAGTATGCACGTAATATTATAACGATTAATTTACTGTTGATGCATTCTCCTACCCACACAGATGAATGTTGTGAAGACATAGAAGCCATGCGTTCATTAAAAACTATTGTTTACAAATAAGTATTCCAGAAATTATGTCTTGAAGTTGCAAGCCCACGGCGTATTTCTTTCTCTTCCCAGTTCGCGACATTCGTTATATTATAGTCTTAAGAATTTTTAATTGATTATATTAATTTGTCAATGTTGTGCTTTCGAGTAAGTAGGTGTGCAATTGAAATTGTTGGAAATTTCAATATTGCTAGTTCGTTAGCCTTAAACGATCCACAAATAGTGAACCCCTTTCAATTGGTAAAATGCAAAATTATTTCTTTTGCTGCCTAGCTTTCGCTTTCATTAATTCATAACTGATATCATTCAGCATTGATATATTGTTGTGTTTACCTGATAACTATTGTAATGAATTGGAAGAACTTACGTAAAATGAAGACAAATATGCCTCACCGGTGTAGAAATACCTAACAGGTTCTCTGCTTGAGTTCTCAAATTGCAAGAAGCAATTCTTATTTTTGGTTTGTTTTTAAGAAATGTTTGATCTTTTGCTTTCTTTAGCTAGCGTTTAAATGATTGTACTTATATATTTTATGTTTTTACCTGCTTTAGCACAATCCTGCCTGTAAAAGTATTCATATTGAAATCGTTTTTAATGTTAATAAAATTTGCGCAAGTTACACCATCTGCTTTTGATTCTACTATTTAAAAGTTAGACGATCTTCAACTTTTTTATTCATTAACTTTTTGCATTTGCTTTTCGCAGAGAACTATAATGCAATGATTCCAGTGAAAACCTGAAGGCTGATGATTATTGGAAGATGCAATTGCAGAGATGGATGAAGAGACAGCTACATGGGTTGCAACTGCTGCACACTGGTATTTTTTGGTTGACTTGCACATTCATGGAGCATCATTTACACAGTTTTAAAATAGACGGTAAACAAAAAGGGGATGGTTCTATTAAAGCATGATATCATCCATACATTATATTGAAGTCACTAAAAAGAACTGTATTGGATGTATTTAGTAATCAACAAGGTCGCCGATGCATAGAGATTACAGAAAAAGAACTATAAAGGCCCCAATATTACTTCTTTCATTCAAGGCAATTTAAACTTCAGAAAATTTTAGACATTTTTTTACCCCTTGGTGGGCCTAGCAAGCGCAAACCCGAATGAGTCATGCCAGTGGATGGTGGGATATGCGATGATTAAAAGATTAAAACACAAGAAGGAACATTTGAATATGGTTCTTATGGCTGTAAGGGTACAAAATTTGCCGTCAACTATTAAACTATTGCTTAACGCTGATGAGGGATACCATGACCTGGTCCACACTGAATGTTGTATATTTGGACGTTAGACGAGTAAGTCGAATTGCAATCATTTCCCGATCACAAGGCTAAAACAAGTCTTTCATGATCGCGTGAAGCGCTATCAAATTATTTGGATTCTATATGCTAGAAATACTTACAGTAATACCTATATTTACAAAAGAAAAAGAAAAAAAAATGAAAGATAAAAAGAAAAGGAGAAATAAGATATAGATATAGTGATATACTATATAGGTTATTTTTTTTTGATAATTGATATGGAGAAAAAAGAAAAATATGAAACAAAGAAGGAAAAAAAAAATACTCTATCAGTTATTTTTTTACTATAAACAAAGGGAGAAAAAAATAAAGAAAAGGATCAATAGAGTACTGACTATCAATAAGCATTCTGTGATCCATGGAATAGGTAGACAGGATAAATACTTTGATTTGGGTAGAGGCGGATAAATTATTTGTATTGGGTAGGTATTTGTGAACGTATCCCTGAATTTAACTACTTCAAGGCAAAGGCTACAAGGTATATTTACATATGATTTTCAAAACCCTTGCATATATATATCTAATTATTATTCCTCTATCTATATTCAGCCATATTGTATACCCTCCACTTTTACATGTGATTAGGCTTCATAAATGGCAATTATTTTACTAATCTCTTTACTTTTATCTTTGAACAGATTATTATAATACCTCTTAGCTCCCGTTTTCGTAAATAAGTTCTTTTCACTTTCTCAATTATTAAATAACTTTTAACCTACACCTATAGACTTAAAATACATAGATGTCTCAAATATTTAGACTTTAGGATACAAACTTCTTTAATAGATTAGGTAGAAAAACAATTAGAATATAGATAATATTTTCCCGCTATTAGACTAAGTCTAAGGAACTATCATTAGATAGATTTTAAGGGATGCCCACCCCTTCCCCTTAGAATAACTTGAACCCTTACCTAGAACTCACTGGTTTAGCATACTATTAAGAGTTGATCTTTATTTGACTTATAAGTACCCTGATATACCTTAAAATATTAGGTGCCGACTCAATATTTTATAAACCTCGGAATTACCATCATATTGAATCCTAGTGTAAAATAGGGCGCAACAACATGGTGATTCTGGTGGAGACTTTAGGTTCTAACGTTAGCGGACTAAGTTTAATTCCTAACACTTGAAGATGTTTGTTTATATTCCGTAAATTATTTGTTTAACTTTCATTACATATTTATTTATATGCGTTCACAACTTGCTTTAAAAAATTACTTTTCGAGTATGATTAATGGGTATTTTTAATTAATTAGAAGATATTTAAAATTGACCAACAGGACGATGACACGTGTCCCTCCGTTTAAATGAGGGGTATATTTGAACCCAAAGTATGACTGTAGGGGTATAGATAATCCAATAGTGTAGCGAAGAGTATTTTTCAAACATTTTCGAAAGTAGAGAGGTATATTTGGCCCTTTGCCGTATTCAGATCAATGGATCACAAATAGTGAATGATTAAAAAAAAGTAATAGCAAATGAAGGCTTTGTAAGTATCATGTGCAGCACAACTATGGGATATATTCTTCTATGACAACACCAACAAAAGCGATAAGGTAATTGAAATGTCCGCGTTTAATTGAATAGCATATTCGTTTTCGCATGTGAAAAGAATTATGTATAAGAATAATACTCTTGAAAAGGTTTTGCTAATCAAACTTACGTCTACTAGCTAGTTCACGATTCCAACTCTAAGAGGTTATTTCATTATTAAAGTATCCAAAGACATCCCAATTTAATGTTTATAATCCCTAAACTATGATGTGGATGTAACATGTGTAATTAGTTTACAATATAGAAAAGTATCAGAATTGATACAAAATATGTCCACCTATTTGATTAAAAATGTTATTACCTACTTTTTGAATCAGCCATACCCTTATTACTAATCCCTTTCTGAGATTCTTTTTTTATTAATATTCACGGGTCATCGTTGTATGGCCTAACTTAAAATCCTCCCCAAATATTAAATCCACCCATAATCCACCCAAATATTAACCCGCCCTCATTTGAAGTTAGTCCAATAGGACAATGACATGTGAATATTAATTTATTTATTTTTTCAGAAAGGGACTCTAGTAATAAATGTAAGGCTGAGTCAAAAAATAATTGTGGGGATATTTTATTTAAATATATGAAAGGAGAATATATTATTTACTAATTCCGATATGTCAAGAGTATATTTGACCTTTTTCATTTATAATATACAGTAGTAGCTGGGTGCCGTATCTGAAATGTGAAATTTCGATAAAGAATCATAATGATGTGGCTAAGGATCAAAATGGTAATGAATAGATCACATGTTAAGTTCCTTATCGCTAACATCACTTTAATTGCTCTGAATATAATGCTGGAGCACCTGAATATATATTTGTAACAAACTTTATTCCGTTGTCAAAAAGGGTCACTAAATTTTTTTGTCCCGTCAAATTATGACATTCTCCAAGCTTCGTGTTCCCAACTTCTATTTGAAGTTCTAAACATAATAAGATATGCAGGTTATATGAAGATTGAGACTTGTTACGACGATATCAATTAGGATTGAGGCAATGCAAGATTGACATCCAAGGCAGATTCTCATTCCCTGAATGACTCCTTGATTCAAAAGGGTAGAAAGAATACGCCTATGAGACGAGTACCTGAGCGACTAAGAGGAGTAGTTGGATGAATGAGCTGTTGGGATCGAGATAACAAGGCGTTATATCGAAATTAAAGCAAACTTTAAATAACGATAAATCATACAATGATAAAAAAATTCTAAAAGATGTATAAATAATTTATTATGATTTGGTCAAATCGACTAACATATGATTTATCACTAATATAAAAAATAAATAAATTAGAGAATAGTTTCCCTCCCTTCTCTCCCCCAACAAGAGTACTTTAATGATTAAATTATGAGGATTGTGTTGTGTGAGAAGTGAGAATTTTTATTTTGTAAAATTCCAAAACCATTAGTCAAATATCAAAGATCTATATTTTTCTATTGATAAAAGTGAAAATCAATTATAGTAAACTATGTGTACTTCTTTCAAGAAAATATAAAATTCAAATATAATAAGAAAATCAAGGTAAACCCTAATAATCTTCCTTTTCCTGAATTCTTGATCCTCTTTCTTTGCATAATCTTCAACATATAAAATGCTACTTGCCATGTTTAAACATTAAAAATATTATGATTTAAAATTGATATTGATTATTACAAGTAAGCATGACGTAAAAATGGGTTGTATATAAGTATGAGCTAAAAATAGTTGCAAAATATTTTTTTTTATTTTTTTAAAAAAAAATACAGCAACAAGATGCTGAATATGGTTGAAATATTTATCTCCACATTGAGAGTAATAAAGTGATGAGAAAGTATCGTTCCCACGAGGATTTGTGATCAACTATTGTCCAATCTAAACTATTTACAAAATTTAATGCTCAAAGGGAAGAAAATGATTGTGATTTTTATTAACTAAATAACTATGAAACTACTAAGCAAACAAGAAAATAAGATGAGATGGGGATATTTCAGGGTTATGGGATTAACGTCTCTCCTTTTGCGTTCTTCCAGTTGATGTAATAACTTGACTTATCTAATCTACTGATTAGCAGGATTTATTATGGTCGCGAAGTTCTTTCGACGCTTCGCTCGCCTATTTAAGCCAACCTAAGTCTATATGTCTATAGAATCAAAATTGACAAGAACGCATGTATATTTCCTGCTAAAATAACCAAGGCAACTAGAATATGTCTATCCTAATCGCGAATCTATTCTCCGATCCCCGGATTCAAGAACTAACTCTACTCAATCTTATATGCAATAGATAGTTCCCACTTTCGAGTTTAACTATAAATTCGTAAATAGTACTTTATTATTAGCTTCGCAATAGAATAATTAAGTGCAAGATGGAATAAACAAATTAATATGATAGAATCAAGCAACATAATCAACCGTCAAATTACAATAGTAAAAAATAACCCATAACCCCAGAATAATGAGGTTCTTAGCCACTCATGATAAGGTTAAACAATTTCATAAGTGTTGAATAGTTGAAAATACTAAGAAAGATAAAGAAAAACTGAGAATCTCTGCTCCCGAGTGTTCTATGCTTGTGTTTTGCTCTCAAAGTGGTGTTCCCCCTCCAAAATAGGTCTAGACTTCTTTTTATACGAGTTGGGGATGTGTAGGGCCGACAGTGAATTAACCAAATATTTCATTAGGGCCCAGGAAGGGATATACTTTGAAAACATAATGGGAATAATAGGATAGAAATTACCCAAACCGGTGGGAGATTTCTTAGATGAAGATATAAAATCCGGCAAAGTACGATCCATGTCTGCACTGCAAGCGGCCAGCAAGGAAATCCAGTCAAGGTCAATTAGTAGCGGAAAGGAGATAAAAGAAGAAGTCCAGCAGTCGTCCCTTACTATCAACCCAACCCACATCATGGAAACACTTCTTATTCCCCAAACAACCATTCACCACCACCCGCTTATGCTCCCGTCTATAACACCCAACCATACTACCAACCCCAACCTCAATACAACCCTCCTTGAGCCTACAACCTGAACTCACAACGACCATATGCTCCTATCCAAACCACTACCCACCAAAACCGACCCACTTATGCACCACGCTCTCATCCTAATTTTGAAGAGAGGGGTCCCAGAAATTACACCCTGATTACTAAGCCTCTGGCCCAATTGTTCGAGAGATTGAGGAGAGCAAGATTGATACATCCAGTGGAAGGAAGGGTTACTGAGTATCCCTCTAAGTATTTTGATGCAACCAAAAGGTACGTGTACCATTCAAACGTGCATGGGCATGATACTGAAGATTGTTTTAAGCTGAAAAATGAGATTGAAACAATGATCAATAGTAGAGCCATTCAGTGCACTCCTGCTCCACCCAATGTGAATCGCAATCCGCTACCAAATCACCGAAACTAAGGGGTCAACGTGATCACGTTGGATGAAGAATATGATTTGAAAGGAACTATTGTCACAATAGGAAATGCAGAGGCCGCAAGGATCCCACCTCAAAGGACTCCGATGATCACAGTGCAAGTAAGACCCACGGTGACAGTTCAGACTTATCAGCGACAACCTGTCATTGCTACAGGGGACGAAGAGAGTCAGGAATATAAAACTGTCCCATGGACGTACCAGCAAAAGGGGAAGGCCAAGATGACAGACTCTGCATCAGCCCACGGTATGACTAGGTCAGGGAGATGCTACGCTCCTGAAGATCTAAATCGAGGGAATTTAGGAAGAGAGCAGATTCAAAGGAGGAACATATCAGACCGATAAGCCGTAGAATTCTGGAAGAGAATGTTGACCAAAGAGTACTCTGTGAAGGAGAATCTGAAGAAAACTCCAGCACAAATATCAATCATGGACTTATTGATGAGCTCTGACACTCATAAGGATGCCCTGATAAAAGTACTCAGTGGGGTAAGTGTGCCAAGCAATGCCACCAGTGAGGCGCTGGCCACAATAATTGGGAAAATGGTCGAAGAAAATATAATCACTTTCAGAAAAGACGAACTTCCTGTCGAAGGCGTACGTCACAACAAAGCTCTTCATATCACTGTCAAATATGGGGACAAGGTGGTGCCCCAAATGGTGGTTGATAGAGGGTCAGGAGTAAACATTTCTCTGCTCTCTACTCTGCGGGAGTTCGGAATCCATCTGAGGGAGGTCAAGGAAAGCCATGTGAGGGTAAGGGCTTTTGATGGTCCGCAAAAGGATGTTATCGAAGAAATTTATTTGGATTTGCAGATCAGGCCGGTTGAATTTCCCATATTATTTCAAGTAATTGATATTTCTTCTTCATACAACTTGCTGCTAGGAAGGCCCTGGATACACATGGAAGGGGCCGTCCCATCCACCCTACACCAATGCATGAAATTTGAGTGGGGATGTCAGGAGATCTTGGTCCATGGCAAATGGCACCAATCCGCTTATTTGGAGCATGTTGACCTGTTAATTGAAGGGCTAGACGGAGTTGCTTTCTATGTAGTGGAAATCATGCAGACTACCAAAATAGAAGAGATTGAACAAAACTTGGGAATGCAGTTGCCGTATAGATCTAAGATAGCTATGAGGGATATGATGAAACATGGATACAGACTAGGAACCAGGTCATACAAGATCACTGAGCCAATTGAACTTAATGGGCAGAAAGGAAGGGCCAGCATAGGATATCAGCCTCCGGTGGGGAAAACTCATATCCTTAGTTACGTGAAAAGGTTTTTGTTCCAGAGCATGTTTCAGGTACGGTCCAGGGTTCAACACCATAAGATAATATCATCGATGGAATGGGAACGCAGTTCGTGAATATGATTGAAAATACTGTAAAGGGATTAACATCAAGACACCGACCATCAGGGATGCTGAACTAGTAGAAGAGCTGTGGAATTGGACCGCCAGTCCATCTTTGGTTCGCCTGGAGTCTTGGTAGTGTGGAACTATAAAAGTTTTCTTTTGAAAAGCACACGGTCAATTAAGGCATGCACCGTGTCTGCACCCTTTTGTCATTTGCCTCTTTTGAACGCTTGGACATTCCTCTTTTGATGAAATAAAAGAATCGTTTTCTTAAAATATTGCAACTTTATTTACCACTTCATTTATACTTAGTTTTTTTCAGTAATCAAAATGATAAAAACCCATGTTTCGCTACTGTGACATGTAACAAAACCGTCAAGCGAAACGACCCAGATTACGAGGAGTATGACAAAAGTATGATGCCAGACAATCTCCCACAAGAGATCAAATAGATGGAGAGTTAGAAAAAGCCCAACCTCGAAGAAATAGAAGTGGTCAATCTCGGAAGTGAAGAAGACATGAAAGAAACAATAATCAACATTCATCTAAAAGCCGAGCAAAAGGAAAAATTGGTTGATCTCCTCCGAGAATACATTGATGTATTTTCCTGGTCGTATGATGACATGCCAGGATTAAGTACTGACATTGTCTCGTTTCAACTTCCTACCAATTCTACCAGACCGCCGGTCAAGCAGAAACCTAGAAAATTCAAGCTCGATTTGAGTCTGAGGATAAATGAGAAAGTGACCAAGCAGATAGAGGCGAATGTGGTAAGGGTCACCAATTATTCTAGCTGGTTGGCAAATATCGTCCCAATACTCAAGAAAGACGGGAAGATCAGGATATGCGTGGAATACCAAGATCTCAATAAAGCTAGTCCAAAGGACAACTTCTCTTTACCAAATATCCACATCCTCATCGACAACTACGCGAAGCATGAACTACAGTCATTCGTGGATTGTTTCGCTGGGTACCACCAGATCTTGATGCACAAGGAAGATGCAGAAAAGACAGCCTTCACCACACCTTGGGGAGTTTATTGCTATAGAGTCATGTTGTTCGGTCTTTAGAACGCCGGTGCCACCTACATGATGGCCATGGCGACCCTTTTTCACGACATGATTCATAAGGAGATCGAAGTAAATGTGGATGATGACATCATCAAGTCTCGAAAGAGTTCAGAGCACTTGGACGATTTGAGGAAATTTTTCGAGCACCTGCGAAGGTACAGTTTGAAATTGAACCCGTCAAAATGTGTATTTGGGGTCCCTACTGGAAAACTGTTGGGCTTCATCGTAAGCAGAAAAGGGATATAACTAGACCCATCAAAAATCAAGGCCATTCAAGAATTGCCACCACCCAAGAGTAAGAAAGATGTGATGAGTTTCCTGGGTATATTGAATTACATCAGTCGTTTCATACCACAACAATATGTGAACCCATTTTCAAGCTGCTGAAAAAGGATGCTGCCACAAAATGGATAGAAGAGTGCCAGAAATCCGTCGACAGAATTAAGGAGTATCTGTCAAATCCACCAGTGTTGGTTCCCCATAAGCCCGGGAAGACATTGTTACTATATATGTCAGTCTTGGATAATGCCTTCAGATGTGTGTTGGGACAGCATGACGAAACTGGGAGAAATAAGCAGGCCATCTACTACTTAAGTAAGAAGTTCATGCCATGAGAGTCCAAATACACTTTGATAGAACGACTTGTTGTGCTCTGATTTGGATCGCCTAGAAACTAAGGCATTACATTTCAGCAATCACTACGTATCTAATATCTCGGCTCGACCCGCTCAAGTACATATTCCATAAGCCGATGCCTACCGAAAATCTAGCTAAATGGCAAATTCTCCTCAGCGAATTTGACATTGTGTACATAACTCAAAGGCTATCAAGGGGCAAGCCTTAGCCGACCACCTCGCAGAGAATCTAGTGGACGGGGATTACGAGCCACTCACTACATATTTTCCCGACGAAGAGGTATTATTTTCTGGAGAAGATATTGCAGATTCATACCCTGGATGGAGAATATTTTTTGATAGAGCAGCAAACTTTAAAGAATTCGGAATTGGGGCAGTCCTAATATCGGAATCCGGACAGCATTATCCAACATCGGCAAAGATAAGATTCCCTTGTACCAATAATATGGCTGAATACGAAGCGTGCATCCTTGGGATCTGAATGGCAGTCGACATGAACGTCAAAGAACTTTTGGTCATAGGGGATTCCGATCTATTGATACACCAAGTCCAAGGGGAATGGTCCACCAAAAATGTCAAGATCCTGTCATACCTGCACTGCGTAAAAGAGATATCCAAGAAGTTCACGAAGATTGAGTTCAAGCACATTCCCAGGATTCAGAATGAGTTCGCTGACGCCCTTGCAACTCTATCATCCATGATTCAGCATCCAGACAAGAACTGCATCGACCCTATCAGGGTAGGGATCAGGGATCAACATGCATATTACTTCCATGTAGATGAAGAGCCAGATGATAAACCATGGTACCATGACATTGGGAGATTCCTTACAACCAGAAAGTACCCGGAGAATGCTACTAATAGTCAGAAGCGAGCCCTCAGGACGTTGGCAAATCACTTTTTCCTTAACGGGGAAATCTTGTACAGGAGGACCCCAGACATGGGTTTGTTGAGATGTGTAGATGTCGCTGAGGAGACCAAGTTATTGGAAGAAATACATGCAGGAACGTGCGGACCCCACATGAATGGGTTCACATTAGCCAAGAAGATCTTGAGAGCTGGATACTTTCGGATGACTATGGAAAGTGACAGTATCCTCTACGTACAGAAGTGTCACCAGTGCCAGATTCACGGGGATTTCATTCGAATTTTGCCGAATGAGTAGAATATGATGGGTTCGCCCTGGTCGTTCGCCGCTAGGGGCATTGATGTGATTGGACCTATGAGCCCGCTACGTCAAATAGGCACCACTTCATCTTGGTATCCATCAACTACTTTACCAAATATGTTGAGACATCTACTTACAAGGCCGTCACAAAGAAGGTAGTGGCGGACTTCGTCTGAAACAACATCGCCTGCCGATTTGGGATACCTGAGTCAATCATCACTGACAATGTCGCTAATCTCAATAACAACCTCATGAGAGAAATCTGTGAGAAGTTCAGAATCATCCACCGCAACTCCACAGCCTACAGACCACAAATGAATGTGGCAGTCAAGGCAACCAATAAGAAAATCAAAAGGATTCTGCGAAAGATAGTGGATAATCACATGCAATGGCACGAGAGACTATCCTTCGCCTGATTGGTATCGTACCACCATGAGAACATTCACTGAGGAAACACCGTACATGTTAGTATACGATACTGAAGCTGTGATACCCACAGAGGTCGAGATACCTTCTTTAAGGGTCATTGAAGAGGCCAAGTTGGATGACGTAGAGTAGATACAGGTCAAACAGGAGCAACTCATGCTCATCGACGAGAAGAGAATGGATGCAGTATGCCATGGTCATCTATATCAGAATAGGATGGCCAGTGCATTTAACAAAAGGGTGAAGCCTCGCCAGTACACACCGAAGCAGTTGGTCCTGAAGAAAATCTTTTCCAACCAGGAGAAAGCCAAAGGAAAGTTCGCACCAAATTGGCAAGGTCCTTAAATTTTTCACTGAGTGTTGTCGAGCGTAGCTCTAATCTTGGCAGAAATGGATGGATGAATCAACACGAAGTCTATCAATTCAGACGCAATCAAGAGATACTATGTTTGAAGACAAATAGAGTTGGTTTTTTGGTGTAACAGAACTACGTTTAACATGATTTCCCATGGGGGGATACGTAGGCAGCCCATGTAGAGTTCAGTTTTTCTCAATAACAACCAAGCCGATCATTTTGAGAGTATTAGCCCCAAACCCCTATTTATTTCTCCCTCTATTTCATATTGTGGTTATGTGACTTGCTGGAAGGTTTGGTTTTTGGTTTCGGAGTGAGATGGGATGCATAGTCCCTAAATTGGAAGTTTAAGATTTAGGAATTGACCATAGTTTGAATTGTATGAAGACAACTCTGGAATGGAGTTTCAACGGTCCCAATAGCTCCGTAGGGTTATTTTGGTCTTAGGAGCGTGTCCGGATATTGATTTAGAGGTCCGTAGGTGATTTTCGCATCAATTGGCGAAAGTTGGATATTTTTAGAAAGTTTGACCCGGAGTGCACTTTTTGATATCAGGGTCGGATTCCGATTCCAGAAGTTGGAGTAGGTCCGTAATGTCAATTATGACTTGTGTGCAAAATTTGAGGTCAATCAAGACTTGAGTTGATAGGTTTCGGTGTCGAATGTAGAAGTTAGAAGTTCTAAAGTTCATTAGGTTTGAATCGATGTAATTCGTGTTTTTAGCGTTGTTCGATGTTTGGAAGGCTCGACTAAGTTTGTATGATATTTTAGGACTTGTTGGTATATTCGGATGGGGTCCCGGGGGCCCCGGGTGTGATTTGGATTGAATCCAGAATGATATTGGACTTGTGGAAAAAGCTGAAGCATTGCTGTGTCTAGTGCAATCGCACCTGCGCACTTTCGGCCGCAGGTGCGGCACCGCAGAAGCGGCCATCGAGCCACATAAGCGAAATTGGACTGCCCAGCTGAGACCGTAGATGCGGTCAGAGTCCCGCAGAAGCGGACTCGTAGGGGCGATGGAGGAAGCGCAGAAGCGGAAAGGCTAGCCAAGCCCGGGGTCGCAGAAGCAGAGCCCTTTCGCAGAAGCGAGAGTGCAGATGCGCATTTTGGTCTGCAAAAGCGGAAGTTGCTAGGCTAAGTGAAAGCCGCACCTGTGATGGAAATTCTGCAGGTGCGGAGCCGCATATGCGGATGTGGGTTCGCAGGTGCGACTTTACTGGGCAGAAAAGGCCTAATTTTGAGGGTTTGATCTCACTTTGATTTTTGGACCTAGAGAGCTCGGTTAGTGGCGATATTTCAAGAGATTTGCAAGGAAATCATTGGAGTAAGAAATTCTCACTCCTTTTTGGCTATATTACACAAATCTATTATTGTTTTCATCATTTAATTAGTGGTTTTAGTTGGAAATTTGAGAAAAATTTGGGAAAACTTCTTAGGCTAAAATTTGGGGATTTGAAAGGCGATTTGAGGTCAGATTTAAGTAATTCTTGTATGGTTGGACTCGATATCGAATGGGTGTTTAGATTTTATAATTTTGGTCGGGTTCCGAGACGTGGGCCCGGGTCGACTTTTCGGAGCGATTTTTCAATTCTTTGCTAAAGTCGTAGTTTCATTATTTAGATTAGTTTCTTATAGTTATATTTATAGTATGTAATTATTTTGGCTAGATTCGAGCAGATCGGAGTTGGAAAATCGAGGGAAAGGCCTTCTTATTGATTGATTGAGCGAGGTTTGAGGTAAGTGACTTGTCTAATCTTGTATGGGTAAAATTCCCCTTAGGATTTGGTACTGTTATGGTAAATTGCAATACGTGAAGTCCGTGTACGCGAGGTGTCGTGTGCGTACTCGGGCTAAATGTTGAAAATCCGGTTTTTGCTAAATAGTTCCATTTTATTCCCTTAATTGAGTTACTCTAGCACGTGTAGTCATCATGTTTAGCCTAATGTCACATGTCTACGTGTCTTATCTCTTACTTGTAATTTGTGCAAAATGCTTAGTCGAACTATTTGTTTCCTTTGATTTCGTATTCATTCTTTAACTATAGGATTCCTTGCTGTAATTTCATTATTCCATTTGTTATGTATTGTTTTCGTGATTTTTGTTGAGATAACTATTTGTTTGTGGCACGAGGTTTCTGCCGTGCGAAGTGTTATTGTGGCACGAGGTTTTTATCGTGCGGAGTGTTATTGTGGCACGAGGTTTCTGCCGTGCGAAGTGTTATTGTGGCACGAGGTTTTTATCGTGCGGAGTGTTATTGTGGCACGAGGTTTATGCCGTGCGGAGTGTTATTATAGCACGAGGTTTCTGCCATGCGGAGTGTTATTGTGGCATGATGTTTCTTCCATGCGGAGTGTTATTATGGCATGAGGTTTCTGCCGTGCAGTTATCATTGTTTGCACGAGGTTTATGTCGTGCCGTTGTGAGATATTTACTTTTGGGACTACAAGGCGGTACCTTGGGAGCGCCCTTGTTGTTTACCTCAGTTTGCTGTATTGTTATTGTTAGTGTGGTTGTTTCTTAACTTGTAAATTCTTTTTTCCTTACGTGTTGTAGTTGTCTTATTGAATTCCGTGTTGTTATCTTCCGTGAATTTCTATTGTTACACTTTTCTGTCATCTCATTACATTATTATATCTTCCGCCTTATTTTTCCTATTATTCCTAGTAGGGCCCTGACCTGACCTCGTCACTACTCTACCGAGTTTAGGCTTGGCACTTACTGGGTACCGTTGTGGTGTACTCATACTATACTTCTACATATATTTTTGTGCAGATCTAGTGCATCCTATCAGCCTCGATATTAGTGCATTATGTTGCTGCTTTGGAGACTTCAAGGTACACCTGCCCGCGTCCGCAGGCCTCGGAGTCCCCTTCTATCCCGTTCTTTTCTTATCTATTTATATTTTGATAGATAATGTTATATAGGATTATTCTGTACTGTACTTAAAATCTTGTGACTTATATCTCACCAGGTTTTGGGATTTTACGTTTTGAGTTTTGGTAGATTCTTTTTATGAAGTTGTTAGGAGGTTCAAGTTTTAATCTATTATTTAATGTTTCCGCATATTGTTTAGGCTTACCTAGTTTTAGAGACTAGGTGTCGTCACGATATCCTATGGAGGGAATTTGAGGTCGTGACAAGTTGGTATCAGAGCCCCAGGTTCATAGGTGTTATGAGTCACAAGCATGTTTAGTAGATTCTCGCGGATCGGTACTGAGTCATCTGTGCTTATCTTCGGGAGGCTATGGAACTATTAGGAAAAGCTTCACTTCCTTGATTTCTTTTCATGCGAAAGTTTTGACTTCAGATCCGAAATTTCTATCCTTCTATTCTCTCATAAATGGTGAGGACACGTACAGTTGGATCAGATGACCAGACACCCGCCCCCTGCTAGAGCCACGAGAGGCCGGGGCCAGGGTAGAGTCCAATGACGTCAATGTGGTGCAGCCAGAGCACCCGCACGAGCGGCTAAAGAGGAGCCACCTGTAGCTCCAGTTGGAGGGCAGGCACTTGAGACGCCTGTTACTGCACCAGCCCTCTAGGAGACTCTCGCCCAGTTTCTGAGCATGTTCAACACCTTGGCTTAGGAAGGATTGATACCACTTTCTCCTGCACATCTAAGGCCGGGGGAGGAGCACAGACTCCCGCTACCCATACCCAGAGCAACGGGTCCAGGTCGATCAGGTTTCGAAGGTTATACCAATGCAGCCGGTAGCCCCAGTTCAGCCCAAGGTTAGGCCAGCAATTTCGGAGGAGGAGCAGCTCAGGCTCGAGAGGTACAAGAAGTACCACCCTCTTATTTTCAGTGGCTTGGCATCAGAGGATGCCTAGGGTTTTCTTAAGGAGTGCCACTGTATCCTCCGCACTATAGGTGTTGCGGTGTCTTGTGGGGTTTCTTTCACTACATTCCAGCTTAGAGGAGTGACCTATCAGTGGTGGTGGGCATATGATGACCGTATCGGAGTATGCAGTCTGATTCAGTGATTTGGCTAGGCATGCACCAGCCTTGGTTGCTACTGTTCGGGAGCGGGTTTGTCGATTTATTGAGGGGATAAACCCCAGTATCAAATTTAGCATGGCCAGAGAGTTGGAGATGGACATCGCATACATGCAGGTGGTGGGGATCACTAGGAAATTGGAGGGTATGTTGACTCGCGAGAGAGAGGAGAGGGAGGCCAAGAGGTCTCTAGAGTCTGGCACATATAGTGGTACTCGT